GAAGTTTAGTCGATTGGTGAAATTGTTGTGTGTGGTGAAAAACACTTTGTGGTCATATGTGCAGAGTTGCATTTTCGTTAAGTTTATTTAGTTACAGGGTTGTATTTGCTCCAATTCTTTGTGATATAGGGATGCCAAGATGTTGGTTACTTTCTATAATTTGGACAATTGCATACACTTCAAGTTCTACTATTTATAAAGTAATCAGTAGCATAGCTATAAAGCAGCTGATTATTTTTTATTTTTGTGTAGAATATGATTTCTGTTAAAAGTTGTTATTGTTTACATTTTATGAATGTGTATAATTTTATGAATATTACTCTAGTTCAAAAACAAAACACATGTTGTTTTGATCAAATTAGAGATTGGACAGCGCTGAATCCGAATCTCATCTCAAAATTGAGGATTCGGATTTAGAGTTCGGAATCATCCTTTGGAAAAGTATACTTCAGTCTCTGAGTTTCGATTTTTTTCAAATTTTGTTGATTTGTGTTATTGAAGCAGTTCCAGTAGCCGGAATATTTTCAAATTCAACAATCATACAAGATGACAATGTTTTATTATGTAAAGCTAAGTATACACGGTTATCAGATCATACAACGTTGGCAGTAAAATGTGAATAAAATATCTAACAATAGTGTGAGCCAAAGAAAATAAAGAAATTGGGGCTTGTCAGTTGGTACGTAAATGAATTGTCATTCGGTACCAAAGAATAAATAAGAAATGAAACTGTTGTCAAAAGTACCTAAGTCTACTGTCATCCGGTACCTAACTCTAAGAATGTATTAGTAGAATTCTCAAGTCAACATAGTTGCAAAAAATAGTATTGAAAGATATTGAAAAAAAATTATTACATTTCAATTTATACTTTGAAAGGTTTCTTAAGATATTTTGCACATATTTTATCTATAAACATTTTATAAACACGTCTATTTGTCTTTTAATCTATAATATTGAAAAAATAAATTCGTACATAAAAATTTTAGGAAAAATAAATACATTTAAATTTCTACATTCGCAGATTTTTTACTTTATTTTGCCCACATCTGATCAGTAAACATTTGATAAATATATTTTTCGGACTTTAAATCTCTTTTTTTGCAAAAAAAAAATAAGTTTATTTTAAATAATTTTTTCATTTTCAATACCAAAATATACAACTTTGTTTTATCAATTTTAATTTCAACACACAAAAATTAATTGTCAAAAAAATTAAAAAATATTTTCTTAATTTGTAAAAAATAAAAATATTTCGGATTGTTAAATGCGATGAAATTGTTTATAAAATTAAATAATAGTTATGTGTTTGTGAAAAAACATCTTTCTAGTCCTATTATCCCGGTATTTTCGCGAAAAAAGTTTTGAAGTATTGTGAGAGAATTGAGTTCTCACAAGTGTGTTGAATTTACACAGAACTCGTCTGTGAAGAGAAGGAAATGTTATTGTTGTAAAACAATGTCATAGTCCAACTTCTTATAATTCTTTGGTGTGAGCTTACAATTTTTCTTTACAACTTTTTCAGTAAATGTTGCAAAGTAAAAATTTTAAGTTGACACGGTTGTTAGACATTTTAAGAACATTTTTCTGCCAACATTGTAAGATCTAACAACAGTGTATACATAGCTTAAGTTATGTTTGAAATTTCTTTCTTTTTTGCAACCAAAATAATGTCAATTTTAAAGATTACTATCTACTACATATGGAAAAATATTAGTAGATTATGAATTTTATTTGCTATTTTTTCATGAATATCATAGTAAAAATTTCGCTAATGTACAAATTCATACATTTTATGAACTTTTAAAATTCTGAATGAAAATGGTTTAGGAATAAAGTTATATTCGATTTATATATTATAAAATTCATTCGAGTTATGTAGTATTTGTATTGCTTTCTTTTGTATTTTGATTCCATCGCCAATATCATAAAGTGAAACATTTAAAATGCATTATCTTTTCATACTATTACAGTCTTATTAAAGTCGCAAAAAAGACATAAAATTGGTGAGGTGAATACCTTAAATAAGAAGAACTATTCAATGGAATTTATTCTAATAAAATTAAATTCTATAGGGCAGTGTCACACGTTCAATATATCGTGATATTTGCTGTATTGTGAAATGTATTGAACGTGTTCCATATCACAGAAAACCCCAATTTTTTGAAATCCAAAATTCGTATCAATATTTATAATAAATCACGTGATAAATATTGAATGTGTATAATGTTTTGTGATATCAATCACGATATATTTTTAAAATTTGGAAAAAAATAAAATAAAGCAAATAAAAATGAAATATTGTTTTAAAAATTGTTAAAAAATATAAAAGAAAATTATTTTTTTCAAAATTTTTATTATTTCGGTATTTTTGCGGTATTTGTTTAATCATCTGCCGACTCGTATACCATAAAATATACAAATACTGAAGAAAAAAATATTGAACGTGTACATAGGGCACTGGCACACGTTCAATATATATTGATCAATATGGATCAAGACCCATTTTAGAATACTGATGAATAACTCGGGTATGCTACACGTTCAATATTTTTTTCTTCAGTATTTGTTATATTTATTGTATACGAGTCGGCGGATGATTAAACAAATACCGCGAAAATACCGAAATAACAAAAATTTTGAAAAAATTAATTTTCTTTTATATTTTTTAACAATTTTTAAAACAATATTTAATTTTTATTTGCTTTATTTTATTTTTTTTTTCAAATTTTAAAAATGTATCGTGATTGATATCACAAAACATGCTACACATTCAATATTTATCACGTGATTCATTATAAATATTGATACGAATTTTGGATTTCAAAAAATTGGGGTTTTCTGTGATATGGAACACGATCCATCAATATTACATGCTACCACGTTCAATACATATCACAATACAGCAAATATCACGATATATATTGAACGTGTGACACTGACACTACCCGAGTAATTCATCAGTATATTAAAATGGGTCTTGATCCATATTGATCAATATATATTGAACGTGTGCCAGTGCCCATAGTGCCAAACGGAAACCAATTTATATCAAACCTTACAGTATGATTTCTTTGCATTAAATCTTAAATAAAAACAGCCTTAGGTCTTATCTATTTTCATAAGATCTTAGTTAAAACTTTTTATACATCATTTTACTAGATTTATCTTTTAGGCAATCTTGCAGAATTATATATTTTTAGATGACTGAAATGAACAAATATACTTGGCAACTCTAAATTCAACGACTAGTGAGGGTGGTGAGATACACTCAACGAAACGGTTTTTTAACGAAATTGCATTAGAAGAAAAACAACATAAAAACACGAACGTACATATTTAAATAGGAAAGGGAGGTCAAGAGTTTTATAGAGGAAGAGAATTTTGGATACCAAAGTTGCGGGTGGCGTTGGAGCAAAAAATACAAAAAAAAAAATTACTTTATACACTTAGGTTTATATAAATGCAGAAAAATGAACTTACATGGTATTGAGAAGATTACATTAAAATGTTTGTTTGTTGATACCTATATTACTTTATTAGATTTAATCAAACACACTCACTAATTATTGCAAATTAAAACTATTGTTTATAAATTAAATTATTAGTTTTATAATTGAACTTCTTTTTTATCAATGTTTTGTTTATTATATCTTTGAATAATTCACATCTGCAAAAGTTGAATAGACTTGTAAATTGTATTGTTTTTACTTTTGAAATTTATTTCCAAGTTGACTTTATTAGTTTTGTGTTTAATTTTTGAATTTTTTATACAATTTTCTATGGCACTTTGAAAATTTTTAATTTTTTGGATTTTTTTTTAGTTCTAGAGTAGAAGATTTTTATGCTCCTCACGTATTAAACGAATTGATAGTACATAAATATACATTTATGTATGCTTAACTATGTAGACCTGCTATGTACAGTAAGGTAGATATTGTATGTAAATATCTGTACTATATTATATACATTTTGTTGTTGTTTTGTCTTCATGTAGGTATGTATCTGTTTGAACGAAAGAATCTAAAAACAGCTGATTGTGTTTTTTAATGCAGTATTTTAAAAAGGCGTAGTATAAGTAGCAGAGACTAGCTTTTCTAAAAAGGAATTGCATTTTTAATAGTTAACATAGCAGCATGGTCATTTTGCATTATTTTAACTGTTATGTTAAGTAAAAACTACAGTCTGGTACAGATTATAGACCAGGCATGGAAAATTCAGTACTTTAGTACTTTTTCCCAGTACTTCCTGACGATATTTTTGTTACTTTTTCTAACTTACAAACTTTTGATAAATAGTTCACATACTAATCTTAGACTAGTTTTGTCTCTAATAAAGTCTATAATCTAATTAATAGTGTTGCTTATATTCGAGTCTATATCATAGTCTAGTCTATAATTTAGTCTATTGTATATACTCTAGTCCATTATTAGTATATAATGTAGTCTATACTCTTGTTTATAGTCTAGTCTACAGTCTAGCCTATAGTCTAGTATATAGACTTGTCTATAATCTATCCTATAGTTTAGTCTATAGACTAGTATGTAGTGTAATTTATAGTCTAATCTAGTTTAAAATCTAGTATCTAGTCTATCCTATGGTCTCGTTTATCTATAGTTTAGTGAAGAATTAGTTTAGTACTTTAAAACTTAAAAATTACTGGTATAGATTATAGTCTGGTCCAGGGTATAGGCAATAGTCTGGTCTAGAGTATAGACTATAAGCAAATAATAAATAAATTTAATATAATCCAGAAGAAAGACTTTAATGTATAGACTATAACCTGGTCCAATGTCCAGAAACTTTTTCAGAAATATATGTTATAATCTTACTAGATTAAAGACTAGATTATAGTCTAAAATCCGTTCATAATTATATAAACAGTCCATCTTAACTCACATTGGCAGGGCGTCAATTAAACCTTTTTTTAAATTGATCAAAAAGTACCAACCTGATCATGGTCAGACTTTTTTATCGCAATTTCCAAATATTTCGCCATTATATAAGAACCGATTAATTAAATTTTATTAAAAAAATATTAGAATTATTCGCAAATTATTCATCCACTACATAATCATAGGGTCTTAACATTTGATGCATTACCACCAGCCAGGGAGCTCCGAAACCAATAATACCAGCCAATAAAAAGAATGCTGTAAATCTCATGGGATTATCCATGGATTTGCGAAAAGGTAGATTCTAAATTGAAATGTAAATACAAATAAGTAGTTATGGAAACCTTTTGAAAGAACAACTTACACAGCCGGGAACTCCACCTTTATAGAAACGTCTAGTAGTCGCCGTTTTATTTAATAAAACTACAGACGTAGTTTTTGCCAATTGTTTTGAAATGGACAACATTTTAATTGTTCTATATTTTTTTAACGCAAAATAAAATTTGAATGTTATTAAAGCAAAAAATTAATTGTGCGAATTAAAATTTTATTTTGAAAAAAGTGTCTAGAAAATATTTTCTTTTGAGTACAAGTTTTTGAGGCAAAGTAGTTTTTAAAAAAGACCATTAACGATTATTTCACCAGTACTATTTATGTAATAACTATACCTATAGTCTGGCACTATAATCTGGTCCAGAGTTTATACTTTAGTCTGCTCTAAAGTATAAACTATAATCTGGTGCAGAATATAGACTATAGTTTGGTCCAGAGTATAGACTTTTGTCTGGTCTAGAGTATAGACTACAGTCTGGTCTTGAGTATAGATTTTAGTCTGGTCTAAAATATACTCTATAGTCTGGTGTAGAATATGGTCCATATTATAAACTGTAATCTGGTCAAGAGTATAGACTATAGTCCACATAATGGTCTACAATATGGACTACTGCCTGGTCTAGAATATAGATTATTGTATAGTCAATAATAAATACTATAGTATGGCAAACAGTATAGACTATAGAATAGTCCATAATATAGACTATTGACTGGTCCGCAGTATAGACTTTAGATGGGTATAGTATGGGCCACAGACTGGTGTAATATATAGACTCCTATCTGGTTCACAGTATAGTCTATAGTCTAGTCTATATTACAGACTATAGTCTGGTGCAGATTATAGGCTAGTCTGATCCACAGTATAGACTGTTATGTGCAGAGTATAGACTATATATAGACAATGTGCAGACCACAAACTAGTCCACAGTACTATAATCTGGTTCAAAGATCTGACTATAGTCAGAGCTTTTAGATTTCAATAAAACACTTTAAATTTTGGTTATTTTTTATATTTGCGAATACATTTTATCTTACAATACATCGCACATATAATTTAAAACGCCAAAGATCTTGGCATCACATGTATCGACAACTTGATAACTTAAAAGCAAGACGAATTAATCTGTAAAAGGAAAATAAAAAGAAAATTTATTAGTTTGTAATTACATTATAAAATTTTAATAAGAATTGGCACAAATAGTCGATATATGAATGATGAAATCATGATTTGGGTAAATTTCAGTTTATCTGAATACTTCGCAACTTATTAACAGTTCTAAACTGATTAAATATTAAACTTCTTTTAAAATATTAAATCCAACTCTGTCTGCAATAGTTTTTCGACATGACCGGCCAGTATTTAAACAGAAAATTTTAATTATGGACTCACAAATACCTATAAGTTAAGGATATAAGATTCTTAAGATATAGTCTAGCTATGTCCGTCTGTCCGCATGTTGGAAGCAAAAAGCCACTAAACGATAGCAGCTAGAGGGATAATTTTCACCAAATTTCATCCAGCTAGAGAAATATAAAAAATGTCTGTCCGAAAGTGTCCCTTTTCGGACGTCTTGATTAATCGATATTTTGCCGTTAAGAGTTGAATAATATAATGATTTACATAAAGAATTTATTCCTCATATGTGAACAGCCATTACATACATGAAGTAAATTCTATAACCATTTACCCAGAAATATATTTCCTAAATATGTATAACACTTTTTGAAACATTTGCCAAATTTTTCGAAAAAAAAAAAAATCTTCATATATTTCTCACTTCTTCGATTCAATACTAACCTAACATTTTCATTTTACTTCTTAAGCAATTGATGTCTGACAATCAAGAAGGGAGAACCGAAGCCCAAAACGGTGAAGGTAGTGAAAATAGCAGTGATCCTATAACGGTTCTTCAAGCTGAAGGGCAAATTCTGAAAAAAGGAAAACAAAAAAAAATATTCACATTAAAATACATTTCTTTACAATAATAATCCAAAGAGAAAAAAATTATGTAATCATATGCTTTTTCATGTACAATTCACATAATTCTTAAAATGCTGTAAAAATTTACCTCGCCGGGAATGCCACCATGGCTATGGAATCTAACCAAAGCCTTGGAAAGGTTGCTAGCAGCCAACAAATTGGTACGGTTCAACATTTTTTTCACTTAGAATTTCACTATCGTCTCCAAATGGCCAAGAGTAAAACGATGGATGTTCTTTTTTTGATGCACGGGCAAAAAAACGAAATTGTACAAGAGGCACAAAAGAAAATGTCAAAAATAACTTCGATTCGAATTGATGGCGAAGGTATGTTTAGTGTGAGACTATAGCAGGGTTGTATTTTGCGAGTAGTGTTTTAATCGTTATTTTGAAATCGCTGAATATAAATAAATAGTAGTAATATATTAGTTTTAATTAGAACAATATTATTATTTATTTTTATTTCCACCATTAAAAAGATAATGGTTTTTAATTTTATGTAGTAATGCTTTCTACAGTCCAATACAGCCTTAGATTTAACTTCATTACCTGATATCGCTCTCATAGCCTACTGGTTGTCAGTAAATATGTTATAACTCCTGTTGACGACATATTATTCTTATCCCATTTACGCATTCCGAAGCTAGTGTTGGATAGGTAGATATAGTGTCGCCTCATTTCTTATATGTATATGAGGAATATCTAGTAACGTTTCCAAAGCCTAATGGTCCCTCTAATACCCAAGCAGCATGTACTCCCTGTAGTTGAAATTATACTTTTTGCCCAACGAAATTCACCAGACTATTGAAGCAGAAGACATTTCAGGGTTGAGCCCAGCTTAAGGGAACAGGGGCCTTTCAGACCTTCTCTAGTTGGTTAGTTAGCTAGTTAGTTAGTTAGTTAGTTAGTTAGTTAGTCAGTTAGTTAGTTAGTTAGTCAGTTAGTTAGTTAGTTAGTTAGTTAGTTAGTTAGTTAGTTAGTTAGTTAGTTAGTTAGTTAGTTAGTTAGTTAGTTAGTTAGTTAGTTACGTTAGTTAGTTAGTTAGTTAGTTAGTTAGTTAGTTAGTTAGTTAGTTCGTTCGTTCGTTCGTTCGTTTCGTTTCGTTCGTTCGTTCGTTCGTTTCGTTCGTTAGTTTTCGTTAGTTCGTTCGTTCGTTCGTTCTTTAGTTCGTTTTCGTTCGTTCGTTTCGTTCGTTCGTTCGTTCGTTCGTTTCGTTCGTTCGTTCGTTCGTTTCGTTCGTTCGTTCGTTCGTTCGTTTCGTTCGTTCGTTCGTTCGTTCGTTCGTTCGTTCGTTCGTTCGTTCGTTCTTTCGTTCTTCGTTTTCGTTCGTTCGTTTTCGTTCGTTTTCGTTTCGTTCGTTCGTTCGTTCGTTCGTTCGTTTTCGTTCGTTCGTTCGTTCCTTCGTTCGTTCGTTCGTTTCTTCGTTCGTTTTTCGTTCGTTCGTTCGTTCGTTCGTTCGTTCGTTCGTTTCGTTCGTTCGTTCTTCGTTTCGTTTCGTTCGTTCGTTCGTTCGTTTCGTTCGTTCGTTCTTCGTTCGTTCGTTTTATTTTCGTTCTTCGTTCGTTCTTCTTTCGTTCGTTCGTTCGTTCGTTCTCGTTCTTTCGTTCGTTCGTTCGTCCTTTCCTCTTTCTTCTCGGTTCTTTCGTTTCCCCTCCCTTTCGCGTATTTTTTTCGACCCCCATCCACGCGACTTTTTCCACTTTGCCTTCTTTTTTCCAGTGCATCCCCTATTTTCCTAAACGAGTCGCTCTATTATTTACCGTAATTCTGACGTTCTCTTATCACGATCCTTTGGTTTTTTTTCGCACCCATCAACCATCATTTGCTACCTTGTGTTTTCTTTTCTGCCTAAAATTTATTTTTTTAATTAATTTATTAGGTTTTTTAATTTAGTTTCTATTGAAAAACATGTTAAAATTAAATAGCATTTTGCGCAGCACCTTAACTTCGCCAAACTGGCGTGGTTCGGTTACGTTTGCCTGCATGTAGGCGAAGCAAACATTCTGCCAACTGCTGTCGATAAAATTCAAATGAATTTAAGGTGAAGAATTTATTTACAATTGCATAATTGCTTCTGGAAATGTTAATGATTTAAATTTAAATGAAATTTTAGGAAAATGCCGCCGAAATGTCAAATTTGGTTAATGAACTGCGCAACATAACGAGTGAAGTGTTGACGGGCGGTGGTCCAAAGGCCATTGAACGACACACCTCCAGAGGTAAGTTGTTGGCACGTGAACGTATCAACAGATTGGTGGATACGGGATCACCATTTTTGGAACTGAGCACTTTGGCTGGCTATCAGTTGTATGGTGATGAGGTTGTAAATTCGGGTGGTATTATTACCGGTGTAGGACGTGTTTGTGGGTAAGGAGAAGAATAAAACAGGTTCATGACCAAATTCTAAATATTTACTTTTCCACTTAGAACTGAATGTGTTATTGTGGCCAACGATGCCACCGTTAAAGGTGGTTCTTATTATCCCATTACTGTTAAGAAACATATTAGAGCCCAGGAGGTGGCTCAGGAAAATCGTTTGCCTTGCATTTACTTGGTAGATTCCGGTGGTGCCAATTTACCACGTCAAGCTGAAGTATTTCCCGATAAATTGCACTTTGGTCGCATTTTCTACAATCAGGCCAATATGTCCGCCATGGGCATTCCACAAATTGCTGTTGTTATGGGTAGTTGTACTGCTGGCGGTGCTTATGTACCCGCTATGGCTGATGAAAGTATCATTGTCAAGAAACAAGGTACCATTTTCTTGGCTGGTCCTCCTCTAGTCAAGGCTGCTACCGGTGAAGAGGTTTCGGCTGAAGATTTAGGTGGTGCTGATTTGCATTGCAAGACTTCAGGTGTCACCGATCATTATGCCGTCGACGATGAACATGCTCTCTATTTGGCTCGACAAGTTGTTAGCAATTTAAATTTACCCACCACAAATGCTTTCAATGACCAATTCCTATACTCCAGCAAAAAGACCATTAAGGCAGCAGAGGATTCTTATGTGCAGGAAGTGGAAGAACCTAAATATGACCCCAAGGAATTGTATGGTATTGTGGGTCCCAACTTGACCAAGAGTTTTGATGTGCGTGAAGTTATTGCCCGTATTGTGGATGGCAGTCGTTTTACTGAATTCAAGAAAATGTATGGTGAATCATTGGTTTGTGGTTTTGCCAAACTTTATGGTCACAAGGTTGGTATTGTGGGCAACAATGGCGTATTGTTTTCGGAAAGTGCCCTTAAGGGTGCCCATTTCATACAGTTATGTGCCCAACGCAACATACCTTTGGTGTTTTTACAAAATATTACCGGTTTTATGGTGGGTCGTGATGCTGAGGCCAATGGTATTGCTAAGAATGGTGCTAAGATGGTAACAGCTGTGGCCTGTGCTAATGTACCCAAATTCACCGTTATCATTGGTGGTTCTTATGGTGCTGGCAACTATGGTAAGTTTTAATAATAAGCTCCCTTTCCTACCACATTTAACTTAATGTATTTCTTTTATATTTATATAAAGGTATGTGCGGTCGTGCCTACTCTCCCCGCTTCTTGTACATGTGGCCCAATTCCCGTATTTCAGTTATGGGCGGCACTCAAGCAGCCAATGTTTTGGCTCAAATTACCGCCGATCAACGTAAACGTGCTGGCAAAGAGTTCACCGAAGCTGAGGCCAATAAATTGCGTGCTCCCATTATTGATATGTTCGAAAAGGAAGGTTCTCCCTATTTCAGTACCTCCCGTTTGTGGGATGATGGCATTATTGATCCCGCTAATACCCGTCAAGTTTTGGGTTTGAGTTTAAAGGCTGCCCTTAATAATCCCGGTAATGGCACCAAATTTGGTGTTTTCCGTATGTAATCTTATACTTGCATACAAAAACAAAAAAGAAAACATTCTGCCGGAACAAAGTGCATTTTTATCAATCAGGTTATAAACTGTGTGTTAGTTTTTTTAAAAAATTAATTAGATAAATATAAATCTAGAGTGAAACTGTTGCATTTATTAGTTGTAAGTAAATAATTTGCTATATTTTTGTAAAATATATAAATAAACATATATTTTTGTTTTGTGTATATAAATCATTGTGTATTTCATTTAGGTAGATAGATAGATAGATAGATAGATAGATAGATAGATAGATAGATAGATAGATAGATAGATAGATAGATAGATAGATAGATAGATAGATAGATAGATAGATAGATAGATAGATAGATAGATAGATAGATAGATAGATAGATAGATAGATAGATAGATAGATAGATAGATAGATAGATAGATAGATAGATAGATAGATAGATAGATAGATAGATAGATAGATAGATAGATAGATAGATAGATAGATAGATAGATAGATAGATAGATAGATAGATAGATAGATAGATAGATAGATAGATAGATAGATAGATAGATAGATAGATAGATAGATAGATAGATAGATAGATAGATAGATAGATAGATAGATAGATAGATAGATAGATAGATAGATAGATAGATAGATAGATAGATAGATAGATAGATAGATAGATAGATAGATAGATAGATAGATAGATAGATAGATAGATAGATAGATAGATAGATAGATAGATAGAAGATAAGATAGATAGATAGATAGATAGCTAGACGCGGATTGTCAAATTTTGATAATTCTTAACCCTTCCTGGGCAGGTTTATGAGGTCCAAATTTAACACTTAAACTCGATTACACATCCCATTAAGGCTTATAAAATTGACAGTCCAAACATATCAGATTTTCTAAACAAAAACAATCGGCAGTTTAAAAATCGTTTAATTAATGTTTTGTAACGGTTTTGCCCTGGTTGCAATCGGAGCGAATATATTTGGACGAATATAAAACAATAAAATATATTTTTTTTTTTTTTTTTGACTTGAAGATTATATGGCGGTGTACACAACACACAATTTGCCAGGTTATCCCACTAGCGTAGTTCAAAAACGCGAAATTAACAATCTCAGAGATTTATGAGATTTTGTAGAAACCGTTGGGTGTTAATAAACACCTACTTCCACAGAGTACTTCTGCAAAAGTGAGGGGTTGTGTTCTAAATAATTTGGAAAGAATTTATGATAATTTCATTATATGATTAAACTTAAGCGTACTTAAATCTAACTTAAAATTAAAAAAACTATGAGGTTTACGACTACAAAAAAGTAAAAAACAAGAATGTAATCTAATTTAAAATCAAAATTGAAAACATAAACAAAAAAAAAAAAAAAAAGAAAGATTTTTTCTTTTATTTAAAATAAAAATTCAAAGTTCAAAATAAGAATCAAAATTAAAATCAAAATTAAAATCAAAATCAAAATTAAAATCAAAAATTTAAATCAAAAATTAATATCAAAATAAAGTAATAAAAATAAAAAAAAAAAAAAAAAAAAAAAAAAAAACAAACGTAGAAACAAAATTAAGATCAAATTCAATTTAATTCAAACACAAAACTACAATCTAATAAAAAAATATAAATTCGCCTAAATTGAAATGTTAATACATCTGGTAATATTGCAAGCAGTGCTACCAACCTTATAGTTGTTTTAAGAATTTCATCGGTAGTAATGGCAATTCAGCGATTTTAAACATGTATACTTTATTGCTTAATTTGTTTACGATTGACAGGAAATTTATACAAGAAAACCTCAAATTGATTAAAAACTATTCAATGTTATTTACTACAATGCGCGTTTGGATTTTATTTAAATGATAAAATCCATACACAAAAGGAAAAGGAAATTTTTAATAAAATTATTAAATATGAAATTTTTGTTAAACTTATATCCCAGAACATTCAAATAATATAAGAAATAAATTTATAGCGATTTTTACATATTTTTCACCGGGTTCTAATCCGAAACAACAAGTTGTCAACACTGTTTATCAACGTCTTTTCTTCGTCAACGGTTGTTGTCGTTTTTCGCTCGCAGAACGAAATAATACGGCAAGTGAATTACTACAATAAAAGTTTTTTTTTGAATATTAACAAATCCAAGAATTTCTTTCAATTGAAATTAACACTGTAACATTTTAATTTCAATCAAAATTTAATAAAAAAGTTTCAAATTACATTGTGCTGGTAAAGAATTTTTGTGCAAATTACAGAAAAAGCCAAGTTTTTTTAAAAAAAAGAACAAAAAATTTTCTTCTCATACATACTTTGAGTAGTGAGTGAAGGTGCGTGTGTGTGTGTTGTGTGTAAAAGGTGAGTCTTCTCCCGGTTTTGCATTTAAAATGTTGAACGAGTAAAAGAGAAAGCAATATATGAAAAAAGAAATTGGCAAATGGCAAAAATGTATGATTAATTTTTTTATTGAAGAGAAGAAGAAAAAATATTGCAAGCAATAAAATAAAGATAAAAAGTGTTAAAATTTAACAGAAAAAGAAAAGAAATAATTGAAATAAAAATTAACAAGGTGTAGTAGAGTAGTGTGCATGAGTAAAATAATTAAATATAAAAAAAATACTAAATTAGCCGGTTTTTGTGCATTGTGTAAAAGAAAGTGGCAAAGAAAAAATAGAATTCCTTTACTTTTTTTCAGCATATGCATAGCTTTGCATATGGTTTCTTTTTTTGCAATAGTTCTTCTAATTCCTGTAGTTTTAATAATGTGCTTTTAGTGTATGGTGGATGTATTTTATATTTCAGTTTTTTTTCATTTTAAAGCTGACGCATACATTTTATAATTAAAAGGGATGTTTGGCCATATGCATAAGTATGGATGTGTGTGTGTGTGTGAGTGCGAGTATAGAATTTTTCTTGTATGAAGTCTCTGTCAATGTTGACGTCAACGTTTACGTTGCCGTAGTTTTAAACTACTACAACAACAACATAAGCTCTGTCAGTTGTTTCCTTTTGCTGTATTTATTTGTCGTTATTACTTCTATTATATTTTTTTTGCCATTTTACTTCATTGCTTGTTCTTGGCTTTGCTTACGTGCTCCCTGGGGGAGATTATCTTGTTTCTTATGTTGGATTCTTTTTGTTTTTAAGATACTTTAAGAAGACTAATAAATGGGTTTGGTTTTCTTCGATCTTTGTGTTTTTTTTTTTTTGAATTTTTGTTATGTAGCGTTTTTGCTTTATTTTGTTACTTGTTTTCCTTATTGTTCCTTTTCTTCTTGTACTTTGTATCTTTTGAATAAAATTTTAAAGATTTCGGAAATTTACAGTTGACCTCTTTTTATTATTAAATAGAAAAACAAGTAAGAAAGTATGACCCGGTCTTGTTCAACAATATAATACCTTACTACAGCTGTGAATTTACAATTATTTTCGGAAGAATGTATTATGAATTGATGCTGAAGAATTTTAATGATATTTTTTGGATTAAATGTGGCCCCATATATAGGCAGACTTGATATTAACATACTTAAGCGCAAATCCAGGAGGACATTTGTAATAATTTGATTCCACCCTAAGCTTTAAATTTTATAGTCTTGTCTAAAGTATAGGTTAGGTTAGGTATTCAGGCTGCAAAGACGCACACTTGGGTCCTGTTGGTCCCTTTGTGATACCTGTAAAGATAATAAAATATAAAAGAAAGAGGGTAGAGGATAGTAGATGATAGTATAGACTATAAAGTATAGTCTATAGTCTAGTCTATAGTATAGTCTGTAGTCTAGTGTATAGTCCAGTCTGTGGTTTACTCTGTATTCTAGTCTATCGAGAGATTCTAAACAGATGAATGAGTGTGGGACTAAAACTTTCAGTGCTTCAAACATTAGGAAGAAGACATAATACCCTCCCCAATGTAGTGATGTATAGTATTTTAAATATTTGCCATAATAATTCTATGAGTAAGAATAATGAAGAGAATGCCAACAAATGTTTATATTTTTAGTTAAATATTATATTAGTTTGTTATTTATTTTAAAATATGTGTCATTTACGTTTCGTTTAATAAATTCCTTTATAGGTATAAAATTTTCTGCAAAAAGTCCTTCTGCTGATTTCTATCCCCCATTTATAGTTGAAATAGCAAAATCCTGCCTAAAGTTTACGTCATCATCTATTCTATGGTGTCTATTAGACAGCACAACTATAGAGATTTTATTGTTAAAAATATGTTCATATGAAATATTTTCAAACGGCCGCATTTAAACAAATATGTAATAAAAATAATTTTATTTTAAAAAAAGCAAAAACCTCGCAGTCGTCCACCACCTCCGCTTAAAATTTAACTTGTATTTTGTGCCCACTTCTAGTTGTTAAATTAACTTTAAGCTTTTGCTGATTTGTTGTTTTTGTTGTACACTAAATATCATTATTATGTTTGTTTGTTTTTTTTTTCCTCTATTCTATCTATATTTAAGTATTTTTGTTGTTGTGTCATTATAACTTGACATATACCGGTCCGGTTTGATTATATTGAAAACTATAAAAAAGTATATATATTTTTTTGACATATTTGACCAATTGATAGTTTTATTTTGTGGATTTTGCATAAGAATATAATATTTTTATGTTTTTTTTTTGGTAGAAAGTTTTTTAACAAGAAATTTTTTAAAATGTTAAAAAAAACTATGCTTTTGTTAAGGGCGTGCCTTTGTTTAGAATATCCAATAAACATGCAATATTATTTGCAAACTAATGTGGTTTTTTGTTTATTAATTTTGCAATATAATAAAATAATGGGTCAATGTAATAATAATCATCAAAAGTATATAGACAATTTTGTATAAAATCAATTAACTCTTACTTTAACGGTATCTGGAAACAGATATTTCCCTGTTTTATGGATTAACCATATATTTTTAGACTAGACACTTGTATAGAATATAAAAGAATAGACTTCAGTCTCAACTATAGAATAGACTATAATCTGGACTATAGAATAGATTGTACTTTGAACCATAGAATAGACTATAGTCTCGACTAATGAATAGACAGTAGTCAGGACTATAGAATAGACAGTAGTCTGGACTATAGAATAGACAGTAGTCTGGACTATAGAATAGACTATATACTGGACTATAAAGTATTCTATAGTCTGATTAGACTATGTGATATAGAATTAACTATAGAATATACTAGATTCTGAACGATAGAATTGATTATAGTTTAAATTAGAGAATAGAGTCTAGTCTGGGCTATAGAATATACTATAGTCTGGAGTACAGAATAGTATACAGGCTGCACTATGGAATATATTACAATCTGGACTATAGAATCGACTATAGTCTGGACTATACAATAGACTTTAGTCTGGACCGTAAAATAGACCTTACTCTGGACTATAAAATTGACTATTTTGGACTATAGAATACACCTTATTCTGGACTATAGAATACAATCAACCCTATCGCCAATACGCATTTTTTTGTTACCTTAAAATTTTCATTCCCCTCGAAGGGAAAATTGCTATCGTGAACTTGCCGTGAACAATTCATTCACAATAGTTAATTTTGTATGCAGCAGCTGTTCAATGTTTACAAAATTCTATTAAAAAATTTCACAACAGGGTAATTTTTTTCACGTCAAAAAAGTTAGTAAACGAAAAAAGGGAACATATTTAACATGAAATGTTGATTGGCGTTAGGGGTGAATATAGCCTGCACTATTGGATAGACTAAAGTAAGGACTACAAAATAGATTATAGTCTAGACTATAGTCTGAATTATGGAATAGTCTGTACTATAGAATAGACTATAGTCTGAACTATAGAATAGCCTATAAACTAGACTATACGACAGACTATAATCTCCACTATACAATATATTTATAGTCTAAACTGCATTATAGAAAAATTTACGTTAGGAATAGAAAAACATTTAAAAAAATTGTGACAATTTCCTATCCAATGATATATGTATACTATGACTATTTGTTAAAGGTTTCTATTAACAGAAAATAAATTAATTTACATAATTTTTTTTAATTAGGAGATGTGCTAATTTGTTGAATCACTTTGCATGGAAAATCATTTTTTATATAGATTTATTTACTTGTGTACTTAAATGCATAAAATACAAATAAATATTATACTTGGAAACTAAAAGAGGAACCTTCTATATAAATTACTTTATTGTCATTCACTTATAATAATTATTATGTAAATTATTCATTTTGTCATCTATCTATCTAACCATCCATCCATCCATCCATCCATCCATCTGTCTGTCTGCTTATAAAATCATACAAGTAGACGTCACAACCGGCATACGCTACTCTAACCGTCTACCACTGAACAAATAAAACAGATGTCGCATTGCATAGAACTTAAAATAACAATTGCAACAACATTTTGCACATTGTGATTAATTGTTATAAAAGTCACTCCAACTCTAAATACGTGACTTAACTTTATTAGAACTCTTAGACAAATTTTTTTTATATACAAATATTATTGGTAATTGTGTGCTATCAGTAGACCATCCAGCTGTGGTTAAATTAAGGAAAAAGAACACTTCAATTAACATTCATTAAGAGAAGAAAGTTATAAAGCAGGTGTTGGGCAAAATTATTTTTATAGTTTATAGAAATGATTTATAAATTGTGTTGCAATTTCTTGCGTACTTTAGTTTTTTATGTGCAGTTACATAAAGTTTGTTTTCATCAATTAAAAATCAATATTCCACGTCCTACTTGCAAGACCTACGAAGCAGAAGTAATCCATCCCACTTGTAAACTATTTTTATTTTTTACATCTAGTTAATAAAACTTTATGAAAAGGTGCTGCTGATACTATGAAAAATTTGTAATTCTTTACAAATTTGTTTTTGTATTTTATACAATATACATATTATAATAACATAAAGAAAAGGATCATAAAGAAATTTTTTCTGTTTACTTATCATGCAAAGCCGGTTGTAGAACCTGCAAAATGTGTCAAGTATTTAGTTCTTGGTTTATGGAAAGAATACACAGATTTTTAAAAGAATTTATTGATATAAAATAGTGAATAATATTAGGGCACGGCACATTATACTCTACAAGAGCTTTATATGGACTATAGAATAGTCTATAGTCTGGACTAGAGAATAGTCTATAGTCTGGACTATAGAATAGTTTATAGTCTGGACTGTAGAATAGTCTATAGGCTGGACTATAGAATAGTCTATAAGTCTGGACTGTATAATAGTCTATAGTCTGGACTATAGAATAGTCTATAGTCTGGACTATAGAATAGTCTATAGTCAGGACTATAGAATAGTCTATAGTCTGAACTATAGAATAGTCTATAGTCTGTACTATAGAATAGC